ATGATTGTTCTTTTATTCAATAGTAAAATTACCTAAATTATTAACTGAAACATATTTTTAACATCATTAAAAACTGTTAATTGACTTGATGATTTATTAATAAAATGGGCAATTAGTTATGAAATTAGAAACCTTATAGGATGGAATGTAATTTTCAAAATCATAAGGGGCGATTTGTATTTTAATAATACCTCAGGGGATGTATTTGTAATTTATCCATTTTTATTAATTTTCAAAATCATAAGGGGCCATTTTTTTTTTATATAGGCATTGATTTAGACCCCCTTAAAACACCCACCCCCACAACCCCCTCATACACATGGAGGTTGGGGATTGGGTGAGAAGAAAAAAAGAAAAAAAGAAAAAAGAAAAGTTGACCAATCAAAATTAAAAGGGGTCAAGGGGGTGACCCCCAAAGGGGGTCTCAACCTTTATTCTATATTAATATGATGATGGCGAGAAACTCGCCAAATGGTGTGTGGAAGTTTTCATTGGTCTCTCTTGGGTACGGAGGAAGTCTTTATACCATTAGAAAATAAAGAACGGGCCGTGTGATTTGTGTTGAAGAGTAATGGTAAGATGAGTAAATTTTTATATTAAAAATTACACATTAAATGATATATCATCAATACATCAAATGCAATTAAAATGGCATTTTTGTTTAGATTGTGAGAAGAGATGAGAAAAAAAAATTTGATTGTGATTTCTTATTTATTTATTTATTTATTTTTTATTTCTTCCATTGGAAATGCTTCCATGTGAAGTTTCTTATTGCTTCCATGGCAATCCTTCTGCGTCTCAAGGATTTGGGTATGGCCGCCTCTGCCTCCGCTGTAGCCGCTGTAGGTGGTGGTGGTCATCGTCTTCCTCTTCTCTGTTATTTTCCTCTTCCTTCATAGAGTTTGACTTCCTAAGAAGAAAAGAGGACTCTATTTTGGGGGAATTTTGAATTTTTTTTTTTTTTTTTTTTTACTAAAGAAATTTGAGTTTTTAAAAAATTGCCGTGTGCCACGCCATGTCTGTGTCCCCATTTGTTTGAAATCACTGTGTCCCGTGTCAATGTCTGTGTCTGTATCCGTGTCTGTGCTTCATAGTCGATTAGTTTAAGGAGATTTCATATCCCTCTAGTGATCTTTGTTGTGCTATCAGAATCTGACATTATGAACTTCAATCTCTTAAGAAACAAAAGACTGCCGTAAAGAATTACTAGGTTTCACATAAGAGAGAATAAGGCCTCGTTTGGCAAGTGGCTTTTTTAGCCATTAATGCTATGCGTCAGGAAAAAAATAAATAAATAAATAAAACATTGATGCTACAATATTAAAAAAAATAAAAATACATTATTTAGAATTATATAATCACTATAATATATGCTGAAAATTAAGAAAAATATATATAATTATAATAAAATAAAATAATATAAGGAAAATTAATGGGTGAAATTGAGTGATACAAAATGGGTAATTTAGTCTCCATGTAAAAAAAAAACTTCTTGAATCCTAACACTATTAAAAGTTTCTACTATTTTCTATAAAAGTATGAAATGTACTCATTTAATGTCACATTTCTTAACATATGCCCGTAAGGCACATGTTAACAAAAGTCAAATAAAATTATTACAATTAAAACTATAATGACCAAAGCTTTTGAATTCCGAGGTTAAAGCCTTTGAATTCCAAGACATTCATGATGAATTGCACCTAGTTTTAATGATGAAAACTTGAAAATCAGATTCAATAAATTGTTTTTCATGAAAATCAATAATCCTATTATTTGAAAAACAAGCATCAAGTGTGTAACTCCTAGAAACCCTAACAAGGATACATGAACACAATTTACATGCAACACCAGTGCTTTATGCTCAAGCCCACAGTATATAATTCTTTCTAATTTTCATATTTCATACATTAGTTTTTAGGTGTCCGAGTATGACTATGTGCAAATAGTAAATGAATAATGTGAACACCAATTTCTCAAGCATTTTCATATTCACACCAAACTAGTTTCTTCCACTTTTATATAATGGTATAGATATATATATTTTGAT